ATGTGAACATTTGATGTACGAAATTCACCCACAAATACTACTGGTGTTGATTTTTGGGGATAAACATGGACAAAATATACTTGAAAACTTGTTTTTAGTTTTATTTTAGTGGTTCTGGTTTTAGAGTTAAGGGTGATTATATGACTGCTTAATAGAGGTGACTGTTTAACCCTTCAACTCCAAAGATATCATTAGTAATTCTCCTTATTGTCTGCCATACAACTCTTATGATGTCAATTCGGAAAATCTGTTATTGAATCAACTACTAATGCCCTAATTCATATTTTACTTCATTCTCATCACTTCTATGCTTGATATTGTATAGATATTGTAAGGATAAATTCTCTGAGTCACTCATGGGAGGTAAAGGGTTTTAGAGGTGAAAATTAAGGTGTTTGAGGAGAAAGAATTTTGGGACTTTAACTATTGACCACTTAATACAGGGTGACTGCTTAATACAGTGCTGCTTTATTCCAGTTTGACAGTATGTGTAGTATTTACATGTATACCACTATCTAGTTGATAACCTGTCTAGTTGATAACCCCAGTATATGACCAACTCCATTTTAAACCTTACTTTTGTGCATAAACAAAATAATAATCAAGTTATTTCCTTATGTTGCAAATAAATTTTATTGACCATCCCATTATCATGACTCAACTTTGTTGGGAACAAGATAGAATTTCCTTGGCAACAAGAGCTGTATGATCAGAGTTCTGATGTTTGTTGGTTTTTTATCTAAAAGTATTGAGAGTTGAGTGTTAGCTATGCCCTTGTGTCCATGCTTCTCAGTCCAACTCTGTAATCAAACGAGTCTTCTTTAAAATAGATTTTTAAAAAAACACTCAGTCTGGTAAATGGGTACAAACCAAACAAAAAGTTGATTGCATTTAATATGTTCATACAGTGTTTGTTCTATCGTCTGGTAGTCAATCTAATTGCAGTTGTTCTCTAGTTGCTTCTGATTAAAAATTCATTTCTATTTCATACCTATTCAGGTCTGTTTTTGTTATCATGGGCAGCAATTGAGACTACATTTGCACAAAATACTAGTAAGTGACATTAATTAAATTCATTTGGTTGTTGCATCTTATAATAGAGGTGTGATTAATAAGTGGAACTCTGGTTTCAGCACAAAAGGATAAATATCAGT